GCAAGCGAAAATTTGTGTATGCAATAATTTCGCAAAAATCATTCTGGACCCAACGAAAAAAATATTTCATTGTGTTTGTGTATTACATTATTGTAAACTTATCTAAAATATATTTAGTTGGATTAGGGTAAATTAAATTGCGCTTGTTATAATAAGGTTAGGTAAGTTTTCTAAGGTTCTTTTGGTACAAAATTATTAATTTTTACATTAACATAAATGAAAAAAATATATGTATCTTTAAACGTATAAGAGAAATTTTTAGAAAGGATTTAATTTTAAATGAGTTCTTGCTAATTGGCCAGTTTTACCTATTCGGCACGACATTATATATATATATTATATATATATATATATATATATATATATATATATATATATATATATATATATATATATTTATATATATATATTATATATATATATATATATATATATATATATATATAATATATTTATATATATATATATATATATATATATATATATATATATATATATATATATATATATATATATATATATATATATATATATATATATATATATATATATAACACACATACACACTGAGAGATGTACATTTGTCGATGATGGTAGTGTTTTGTTCGTCAGGAAAGAGGACACCAGGTGGTGTCTCCTGATAATTGGTGTTTCGGTGATACATAATTGCTTCAGCATTCGCTAGCTTACTACAGCTGCAGCCTGCAGGTTGTAATCGGAATTAGGCTTTAACCAGAGCTAGGCTGTATCATTTCTAGGCTTTAACCGTCGGTAGGATTTAACTAGAGGTAGGCTTTTCCAAAAGCTAGGCTTTTATCAGAGCTAGGCTTTAACCGGAGCTACCCTGTAACTGGAACTAGGGTTTAACCAGAGCATCGCTTCATATCCCCCCCCCTCCCCTTTAAAATCCAGAATCACTACCCAATACTATCCCAAGATGATGGTATCCTCACCGGCATTAAAAATAGTTTACTATCGTTTTCTGTAGTAGTTTACTGTGCTCACATCTCTATTTAAGGTGCTGCAGTAACCTTGTGTACACGGGTGTTGCAGCCTCTGAGGGTATCTTTTTTCAATAGGCTTTGACACCGAGCACCCAACGCTACATAGGCTGGAAAAATGAGACAGTTGTGCACTATCTGGAAATCTCTGATGAGGAAACATTTCGCCAGCCGGTGGCGGCGTCTTCAGTTCAGTACAAAAAAAACGGTGAAGGATAATGAGGAGAATGAAGTAATCAGTCCCTCATCCTGGTGTCGATGTGTTCTGTCCATCAATCTTGAGAAAAATACAGCATAGAGAACTAGAAGTGAAATATGCTCGGAGAAGTGGCTTGTATACTGCAATCAGAGGAGTAGAAGCAGCAGGAGGTGGTGATGGAGGCATGGAAATCCACTTAACAATTTTTACTGCTAATGAATGAGATGGAGGGATGAGGGGAGTGGTAGATTGTGGGATGGGAAATAAAGTAGAGAGAGTAGATAAAAGAAGGCAGTGGAAGCAGGACTAGTAAACCAGGAACACTGTGAAGGTATTTGGGGAAGGTACACTAAGTGGTGCTGTATAGCCCTTGTGGCTTAGCGCTTCTTTTTGATTATAATAATAATAATAATAATACACTAAGTGGTGGGTGGTACTACGTGGGGGGTAAATACTATGTGGGGGAGATATTGCTATGTAGTGGGGTTTGTACTACTACATGAGGAGTGGGTACTAGTACATAGGGATGGGGTATTAGCACATAGCTGTGGGTACTACCACTAGGGGGATGGGTACGGTACTACGTGAGGGGAACCACATCACCAGGACCACACGTGCCACCCTCAAAATCCCCATCTCACCCCTCACCACTAGTACTCCACTCTTCTCCTTTACCCCCTCCTCCCCAACCCTGGCACTCCCCTTCTCCCTGTCCATCGTACCCTAACAGGTTTTTCGGGAGGTTAAAGACGCCAACACTACACAAACAACTGACTTTTTGGCTTTACCTCAGAGGCTGCCTCTGCGTCATCGTGATAATAATAATAATGATGATCATGGTAATGATGATAATGTTGATAATGGTAATGGTAATGATGTGTTTTACTGCTATTATTAGTGTTGCTACTGCTGTTGTTGCTATTGTTATTGTTACTGTTGTTGTTGCTATTGTTATTGTTGTTGCTATTTTTATTACTAGTGTTATTACCATTGTTATTGTTGCTGTTACTATTATTACTATTGTTGTTATTGTGGTTACTATTGTTATTGTTACTGTTGTTAGTGTTACTGTTGTTACTATTGTTAGTGTTACTGTTGCTGTTACTATTGTTGTTGGTACTACAGTTGTTGTTCTTATTGGTGGTGGTAATTTAAATATTAATCTGGAGATGAAGACCTTGTACGTATTTTAATCTCAGAAATATGTTACTATGCAAATTCTCCAAACTTACATATGTGACTTGTGCACATGTATTTTAAGCCAATGTGGAATTTTTTTTGGGTGTGTGGCTGGGGAGGGACTAAAAGAATTATAGCCTAATGTAACCAAACCTAACCTAATGTAACCAAGATTAGAACTAAATTTCAAATTAGGTAATTATTATTAATTATTATTATTATTATTATTATTATTATTATTATTATTATTGTTATTGTATGCATTTAACAGTAAATTATTTTATTTATATGACTGCTAGACAAGCATTGTAAACCAGTGCTTCTCAAACTTTGGGATAATACGCCGTAAGAGATGTATTTCTCTCAGGGTATACATGTTGAGAGTATAAATTAGTCCCTGTCTTAGGTATTAAAATATTCTTGTTTGGTAGTGACAAGGTTATCCTGCAGCCTTAATGACTGGTGTAGTCGATAGGTTTTAAACCTCTCATTACCCAGTAGCTGGTGTGTCATGGCCAACTTGGAGATATTAAAATGAGAAGTATTGGGAAAAAAACACATTTTTATTGAAAAGTTTTAAGTATGACAGTTAACATTAAGAAAAAAATTGACTATTTTTAATTTCAATAAGGATGTTAAAATAGGTAGTCTTTATTAATTAGAGAGTTAAGTCTGTTTTTTTCTTTACCATCTTAATAAGATGTATTGGATGAGGACGGTGCAGCGTAATGAAGGTCCAATATGTATGTTGTTCCTGTATTTTCTCTTAGTGAAACCTATTAAACCACGGGAACGGGTGGGATTTGAACCCCTGACAAGTGTAAACTTACTCGCCATGGTGTCAAAATCCCATCCGTTTCCTGATTTATTTACAGTGGTGTTATTACGATTTCGTGAGTCATGAAACCTAGGGTTGAGAAGGCTGGGGAAATGGGAGAGAAGAGTTTTGTGAGCAATTTCAACAAGTTGGGGATATTCTGCTTTCACTTTGATCCAGGAGGAAGCGAGTATACCTGGAGGGTGTTCCGGGGGTCAACGCCCCCGCGACCCGGTCCATCACCAATAAGAACATAAGAATGGAGAAACACTGCAGAAGGCCTACTGGCCCATACAAGGCAACAACTTGGCCTCCAGTGACACTCAAATCATTCGTCACTGCAATAAATGTATTTCGCATCAATGTACCTTTCCCTAGATCACAATTTGAACGTTTACTAACCTCATTCGGGAGAGATGTGACCTGAGGCTCGTCACTAGGATCACTGAGGGCTGCCATCATGCTGTCAAACCTCAAAACAATTTCTTGATTTTTTTTTAACAATTCCGTATTTTACTGAGGCACCGAAAAGCAAAATGGCAGAATTTGCTTTTATTGAATATTTCGACGATTCGAGGCGTATAAATGACATTGTTTACACGATTGTCACATGCAATAAGATCACAATAAGAGATATGGGGTTGTATTTTTGACTTATGAGTTTAGAAGTTCTTTTATTTAACGTGTTGAAACAATGACTGTATTTTTCTTCAGTGACAATAAACCATATAGGTAAACGAGAATTATGACTCACGTTTTTACTCGAAAATTCTTGAATTAAACTTTTTTTCAAATTTAATTTGAAATATTACAATAATTCTGTTTTACTATGATTACGATTTTGTATTTTGATGCATAATAAATATTCGTCCTCTCACAACTGTTATTGTACCTAATTCTAAAACTGCTTCTGATATCTGTGTGGAAAATACTGTATATATTTTCCAGAAATACAGTAGTTATATGTAAATAGATGGCCATACTGTATTTAATAATATTTATGTCATAGAAAACGTAAAGCCTGCGTCTGCGCAGGACAGTCGCCATTGTTAATTTGAATTGGATACAACGTTAGTGTAATGGGAAGGAATTTTCGTGCTCTAGAGGTAAAAATTGGGCTGACACCTCTCAAATAGGAGGCGAAATTGTTGGATGTGCATTCCTGCATAACTTGAGATATCAGGCGACTGGACAAGACAGCTCCAGGAACTTCAGATAAGTCTGTTATGTTATAACTCTGGCCAGTTGTTATTTTTATGTATAGACAGAGGTTTTCTGAGTATGATACACCTTGATTTCCAGTCAAATTGGTGAGTGTTATGATTAAGATATATTCTCCTTCTGTTGTATAAATGTGTATATGTATATATAATCATTTATTATTTTTAATATACAGTCCACAAATTTATATATTTACCAGAATTCCTGGTGTATGTATATTTCATTTATAATTTATAGGTCCAGAGCAACTTGTGGATATGACAGTGGTTGGTATCGAAGGGGGACATTTTTTGCGACCTAAGTGTCCCAAATTTCTACTTGTCTAACTGATAAATAATAATTATCTTTGTTCATTTACTGTTATGTACATAATGATACATTCAGATAAATGCAATTTTCCACAATCTGTTAGCTGTGCATGAGCCTGCAGCCTCTGGCTATATAATGTCTCCTCACTTTCAGTTTTTGCTGCTGGGACTAAACTCTCTTCTGGGACACAAAATAATGCACTTGGATTGTGCAATCTGAGGCGCTACGTCATACGTACGTTATACTTACGTTATGTTCCTTTCTTTCCTGACAGCTCGCTGTGGACCGATAACACTTTCACCAGTTAACAACGAGGACCAGTAATGATGTGGACCGCCGACTGGTGGCTCGCGGACCAGCAGTGGTTCATGGCCCACTACTTTGAGAAGTGCTGGTTTAGTGCCCTCGCCAAACTGTAGATTAGGTGTAATTTTTTTCCCAGCCATGATATTGGGTTGTATTTTGTCAGTAACTGCCTGGTAGTGTTGAAGCCTGTCACAACTGCTCGCTAAACCTGCTCATATTTACCCTTAGTAACTCGCTCTATGCGAAGGTTAGAAGACAAATCCGGGAGTTATTGGACAACTTGAAACTCTGAAGCTCGAACAGAGAAGATAAGAAAAAACACAGATATCTGAAGGATATTTGAAGATGGTTTAGAGGTTCATTGTTCTCATATCCCGGTCCAGAACATGGATCCTAATGGCAATAAGTCGCTTCGTCTGACCTTTTTTTTTTTTTTTGGGGGGGGGGGGGGTTACCCTAGGTAATTACACATATGCTGCTATTATGTGTACCTATACCTAAATAAACTTACTCGGAGTTGACAGCCTCATCAGTGAGGCTGTCAGTACTCTCTGCACTCAGTTCGACCTTTTGTCCGAAATAACCTGCGTGATAGTGGCTCTCTTTTGTACCTAATAATCTTTTATTACATATAAGCTACATTATCTGTATGCTACATAAAATATAAAGAATTTAAATTTTAGCATCACAACTCGGCTGATCAGGCACTTTAGTTCTCTTTTAAAAGAGGAAGACTTAGTAACTTTAAAGGTGATTTTCAAGTTCTCCGCAGGATGCAACCCAGAATATTCGACAGACTCCTAGCTGACTGCTAGTTAACGGGCAGTAGGGGTCATGAAACTCCCTTATTTACTGTCTAGTAAGTAAGCTTATTAGGCTCAGGTACACATGAGCACAATTATCATACGTAGTGTAAATTACCCCTAAAAAAGTCGGAGTAACGTATGTCCACTGGGGTCCTTGTAATATCTTATTATTTAAAGGTTTAAACAGCTAAATAACTCAACTGTTTGAAAATCAATTACAATGAAAGAAAATAAACTAAAAATAAGGTAAACCGAGTTATTTACATTAACATTACAGAGGGGGGAGCTTACAATAAGACGCACATGAATGTCAGGCACCTGGGTTCGACCCCTGCTACTTTCGGAAATAAGTCACTTCGCCTTTCTTTTTTGGGTTATCCTAGGTAATTTACACATATTACTATGTACGATAATTAGGGTAACTGCATTTAAGTGTTTCTGTACCTAAATAAACTTACTTAAATGGGTACTTCAGGGCCGGCTGACACATAGCAACACGGCAACCAAACATCCAGGGCGCATAAACAACAGTTTATTGTAGATCTGGGCACTTGTGGCCCCGGTGTTGGTGGAGGCTGGGTTGCCACACCCACAGCAACCTGGACGATGATTGGTAGGAGGATGTGGGCGCGGCTCAACCTCATGCTTGCTGATGTCACTGGTGCTAAAATGTTCCCTGAGGCCTCTCACCATGCAGGTAGCAACACTACTCTCTAAACCCCTCTAGGGAGGCTCCTTGTTGCTAGTGAGGGGCTCTTGATCTAGGGAATTGGATCTGTGCTCCAGTTCCCTGAATTAAACCTGGATACCTTCCACATCCCCCCCTCCCTAAGCGCTGTATAATCCTACGGGTTTAGCGCTTCCCCTTGATTATAATAATAATCTACCCTCCAACAGGGTAAGTATACTGTTGTGTTAGTCATCATCACGCCCACACAAGCCTGGCAGCAGTGTACGGCTTGATGGAATGCTAATGGAATGATCTTAGCGTCGTTGGCCGTTGTTCCATGTCCGAAATATTACCCCGGGCTATTATTACAGCTTAATAAATAGCATGTGTCTCAAGGGAGGTTCCTTGACGCTTGTGAGGGGCTCTTGATTTAGGGAATTGGATCTGTGCTCCAGTTCCCCGAATTAAGCCTGAATGCCTTCCACATCCCCACCAGGCGCTGTATAATCCTCCGGGTTTAGTGCTTCCCCTTGATTATAATAATAATAATATTATTACAGCTTAATAAATAGCATGCGTCTCAAGGGAGGTTCCTTGACGCTGGTGAGGGGCTCTTGATCTAGGGAATTGGAGCTGTGCTTCAGTTCCCTGAATTGAGCCTGAATACCTTCCATCCCCCCCACCACACCCACAGGTGCTATATAATCCCTACGCGTTTATCGCTCACTCACGATTATAATAAATAGCACGAGTCATAACATTAGGCTGCGAGGAAATGTGTATATCGCAAACTGGAAACATTTTTTTTTATTTCTCAATGAAATTAGTGCCATTATTTTGAGTTGGATTGCTCAGGATTATTATTATAATCATGGGTGAGCGCTAAGCCGGTAGGGATTATACAGCGCCTGTGGGGGGGGGGTGGAAGGCATTTAGGTTTAATACAGGGAATTGGAGCACAGATCTAGTTCCCTAGATCAAGAGCCCCTCACCAGGATTGGTGGATCTGTCGCGTGTGTTTTTCTTGCTTGAACAACTATAGATAACGACGAAGGACTGACCACCTTTGGTTTAACTAGACATTTCTCGTTTATCAACTTTGTCATGAGACCAGCCACACAAACACTGATAAGTATACACAGAAGCCTTTGTATAATTATTTTTATAATAATAATAATAATAATAATAATAATAATAATTATTATTATTATTATTATTATTATTATTATTATTATTATTATTATGAGAAGCGTTAAACTCATAAGAGTACATGAGGAATCGAAGGCAGTCAGGTTCGATCCAAGGAAGAGAAGTGTGGAAAAATTCAATAATTTTCTGATGATTTAAATGTAATAATTGGTAGGGATAATAATGCTTATACAATAATACAGGCGTGTAATGTTAATGTGAGTTTTAAAAGGTGATAAGTCACAGGGTAACCAACATATTCCCTATACTTTCCTTAAGTAAAATGGAATTATCGTAATATTGAAGAAACTAATATTCTGATAAGGAAAATGTATTACACACCCAGAAATATCACTAAATTTGAATTTATATATGTGTACAAAATGGGAGAGTAGGGAAGAGAAAAGATGGCGGTACGAGGTGAGGTCGGACTGATGTGCTGGCCAATAGAAATATTATAGGCGAATTCTGTATTACAAGATAAGCGAAGAGGAAATCCATCTGGAAGGGTCCAGATAGATAAAGAATTCGTGATAGTATGGAAGAAAAACGTGATGTGGAAACAAAATGGATACCATGTGCACTCGTCACTGATGTTCGCCCGACAGGTAAGGTTGATAGAAGTTAGCCTATTTTCTATACAGTCTGACTGGGAAATATCGGGACATGTCACCAATGTAATATATTGGTATGTGTGATAATTTGTGTCCTTAATATGAAATAATGTGAACATTTAAATCAGCTAAGTCCACTTAGGTTAGGTTCGTCAGGTAACAGGACAAGTGTTTCCTGACGCGGGTCTTTGATGATGACCTTTGGAGCTTTTGGTCCTTGACCGAGGCCTTCTGCTGGCTTACCGGTCCACCCCTATAAAAAATTATGGGCTTAGTTATAAATTCTTCACAATTATACAGTTCACTTAATAGTCAGTTTTACTGGCGTAATTTTTCATCATAAATATACAGGAGCCATATGCTCCTAATCCAGGGTCCTGGAGCTAAAACAGTGGGCATTGAAGGAGGGACATTGCCACCCCAGTGGTCCTGAAGTCCCACGGGTCTCCAAGATACAGCACCTCAGTAAGTTGCAGTTTGTTAGATATATTCAGTGTGTTCTTGTGAAAATCCCCACAGGAAGGATAAGTTCTGTTTCCTGGATCAAGAGCTCCTCACCGGCATCAAATCACCTTCTTCGAGGAGGCAAGCCTCTAACTGTTTTGAATTCTCTAGTACATTACAGACTTGGTAAAAACAAATTAAGTGGAATAGTTAGCGATGTGTGGACATGTCAGTACTGGTGTCAGTAATGTCATTACAATATGTAGGCCGTGTATTACAGTACGAGTGTAACAAAACGTTTAAGGGTTGGTATAAGGTGCGTACCTCGACCCTTCATATTCCGTCAGGTCACCATCTGGAAAAGACCCGGGCCAGGACAAGACCGGCGAACCTGCTACTGCTTCGTATTTATTTTTCCTCACACCTTGGTGTGAGCAGTCAGTCGGAAACTTGACTCCTTTCAAGCAGGACCCGATATAATTTTTAAAGAGGGTAAACCGGTAAGCCAGTGGAAGGCCTCGTTCAGATGACCAAAAGTTCCAGCTATGGGTCATATTACTTAAGACCTGCATTATGAAACACTTGTCCTGTTTCCTGATGATCCTTTTGCTGGGGAATCAGTTTGAATGTTGGCTTTTGTCTAGGGGAGAACTCCAAAAGCAACAAGGGTTTAGTGTGGCAAATATAGCCTTCTTAACCAAAGAGGCTTTCTTGTTAACCTTTGTCTTTCTTTAGGATAACCAAAACTCACGAGTAAAATCCTTGTCTTTAATAATAAAACTTAGATTGTATCTTCATATCTCTATGAACCATAATCTTTATAAAGAGCATGAAATTACTTCTCTTTCCCTTTACACATAGAGGGTAGAATTATATATTAGAGTTATATATACAGCTATTCTTTGTAGAATTAGGCATTTAATAAGACATGAAATAACTGATACGTTGCTAACACTACTCTTATCAATGTCTTCACAGGGACATTAAATTCAAATAATCCACACAGGAAGTTTCATCGATATTCCCGTGCAAGGGATCGGAAAATGAATAGAGAACTCTAGAAAACACAGATCAGACTTAAGTGTGAAAGTGAGTGAGTGAACCCACCAGACTGTACCAGTCAGCGTTAGCTGACGTCAGGTTGGATCACGTGACTTGGCGGGGGACAGGCCAGTCCCTGAATTAGTAACCGGCAGTAACTAGTGGTTCTCACTACATGAAAATCACATATGAACGCCTAACAAAATACAGAATATAATACAATAATTACAATGGTGTTGGCCCCTGTGGCCTGGTGGGTAAAGCTGTCGCTTCACACACGGAGGGCCCGGGTTCGATTCCCGGCGGGGTGGTAACATTTCGACGTGTTTCCTTACACCTGTTGTCCTGTTCACCTAGCAGCAAATAGGTACCTGGTGTGACTCGCATCCTGGGGGACAAGATTGAGAACCCCAATGGAAATAAGTTAGACAGTCCTCGATGACGCACTGACTTTCTTGGGCTATCCTGGGTGGCTAACCCTCCGGGGTTAAAAATCCGAAGAAAATCTTATCTTTCATATATCGTATACCATGGTACTTGTAGCGTTTGATAATATTATAAGGCAGATCTTGTCCATTTTAGCTATGAAGGGAGAAGATCGCGATATAATATTAATTAGCACACATTTGAACGTTCCTCAAATGTAAAAGCACAATCTTAGTCAAAAGATGCAACACCTGACGAACCTTGCCTAACCTAAGGGCCCCGACTTGCCAGTCACAGATATCCCTACCCTGGTCACAGACCGGGCCGCGGGGGCGTTGACCCCCGAAACTCTCTCCAGGTAAACTCCAGGTAAACATAATAAACTGCTACCGGAGCGGTTCTTCACACTGCCAGCTTTACCCACAACACTGGTAGCAACATTATGTGACAACTCCGTACTTTCATCTTTGTTCTTCATCAGCCTTAACTTTCCTTCACACCATAGAGTATCTCGCTGTTTTAAAGTTGATTCAGTTTTTCTTATGCTAAAATCTACTTTTTTTTCAGTGGAAATAAGCCACTGGCTTTTATGGGTTATCTTAGCTAATTTACACATATAACGTTACTATGTATGATAATTTGTGTAACTATTTGTGTGCACCTGTACCTAAATAAACTTTATATAATCTTACTCTCCGGTGTTGCCAGGGCCATTTATCTGGCCTACTGTGCTCATCTGAACCAAGACTTACGCGCAGACGCACTACATGTAGTGCGTCTTATGTTCGACTGAACTCGTTGGTTGAGTGTAGCTAAGCTACTGCCCAAGCATAATCGTTTCTTATTATACATTTTATTAGGAAAAACT